CTTTTATTCATGAAAAACTTGAGTTACAAGAAAGACAATTTTGTCCCTCATAGAAGATGGGACACATAACTTAAACTCAGATACAATAGACATTTCACTTTCAATAAGATACACCAGAATGACCAAAATACCCCTGACTCGAGCATTCTAACAGTGATTAATTGGTTACAACAATAGGAAAAATAGATTAAGGAGCTATATTAACAAAAAAAAAAGAGATTTAAATGGCTGACCTGGAATATGGAAGTGAAGCTTGAATGGGTGAAGAGAAGTGCTAATACATTTGCTGATGTACTTGCTAAACAAGGCGTGGGAAGGGGTAACATGTTTTGGGATCTATTGTAAGTTGAGTACTTTTGGTGGGGAGGGCTAAGAGAGATTATCCCTCCCTTTTTCTCGTGTCCTCTTGTATTTTTTTAATCTTCTAATGCAGTGGTTCAGTTATTGATAAAAAATACATAGGAAATTGAGTCATGACAAATTGAAAAGTTTACAATATTCTTCTAAAGTTTCCAGTTAAATAATTAATTTAAAGAGCATTTCTTCATAATAAAAATATGTTATCTATTAAAAGTTTATTGATCAGTGCATGCAATTATTTCATAACATGATGAAATTTACACACTATTGTACTCCTGTTTTATGGCAATGCTATGGCTACACAACTCAAGATAGGGATGATTTTAAGGCATCCAAAAAGAAATGAGTCAAGATATAATAGTCATATTTGGTTTATAAGGATTTTCACCTTCATAAAAAAAAAATCAGTTCCCATGATTTCTCAATTCAACTCAGCTAAGCATTGTCCAGCTGATGCCTATCTAAGATTATTTGAACTTTTATTATTTGTTGTGCATGGTAATTTTTTATTTAGGTCTTAAGTGTATAAACTTCATAAAAAACTCCATGCTTTTCTAAGGTTTTATGTCTTTCTCTAGTTTCCTACGATTTTAGTGAAATTTTATGAAACTTCCCAAAATTTCCTCATTTTCACATGAGGAAATGCTGATTGAAACTGGAGCTTCAAACCATGCTATTAAAAAGGGAAAAAAAAGAAAAATATAAAACCACAAGCAGTAAAAAAAGGTTCCTTATTGGAATGTAATGATTAAATAGTGACTGACCATCATAATGGCAGATTGGCAGGGAGATAACAACTGGCTGAGTTGACGATTTCACCTGCATTCTATAAGGAGATAAAACTCTTTATTTAGAGAAAACTGTACAGAACAAAGAAAAATGAAATCAAACGTACATGTTGAGATACAACTGAATTAAAAAAAGGTCACCAATCAACATATAAGTTACAAGATAAATACAAGTATAAAGTATGAACTCGTCCACTTATAATGCGAACAAATTTATTCATCTAACTTATTTTAATTGGCAATCATCATTTTATGTATTATTTATAATTTTTCCAGAACAAAATTTTCAACAATTGCACATCTGCAGGCATTACATTCAAACCAGATGTTGTGTCAGTAGTGCAATTCCAGACAGGCATATCCACTGGATGTACAACAATAATAAAAGCATTTTCCAGTACCCTTTTATCTAAGTTACAACAATCTTCTTATCAAAAGCACTATCAAATTAATGATCAAGAAATATCTTCTCCAATGAATACGACCGAAATATCTATTCTAATAAAAAAGACCATCAAAAGAATGCAAGGCATATGAATAGAGGGTCCAGAGGGACTATTTACAGTTAGATCCTTCCACAAGGGGACATATAGTATCTCATGAAGAGGTAGGAAAGATCTGGGATTTCCAATTCTTAAGAGTGGAAGTTTTCACACAGTTGATGATGATCAAAAAGGTTCTCACCATAGACAAACTTAAGTTTCAGGTTGACTAATAAGTATAGTTGCAAGATGAGAAATGGAGGAAGAAAAGAAAGAAAGTAGAAGAAGAGGGTTTCAAGAGAAAAGGGCGAGTTTCTGTTCACACCCAAAAATAGCCTTTTTATATTAAAAGATGTAAGATACATAAAAGCCCCTTGAATGGGTGCCCAAATACAAAAAAAGGATAAAAAGTCTCATTGAAAGAAAGTCTCATTGAAACATCAGCTTGAATCACACGTATTTCTCCACTAGCTATTCTTTCTCTAATGAAGTGTCCATCAACCTCAATATGCTTTGTGCAGTCATGTTGGACTAGATTATGGACAATGTTTATGGCAGCTTGGTTATCACAAGAAAGTCTCATTGAAACATCAGCTTGAATCCCAATCTCAAATAACAAGGTCTTTAGCCAAAGTAACTCTGATACTATATTCAGCTTCTACACTAGATCAAGCCACGAAAAATTGCTTTTTACTTCTCCATGATACAGCATTACCTCCCACCAATGCACAGTAAAAGGTGGATCTTCTATCATCCATAGAACTTCCTCAATTTGCACCAATATAAGCTTCAACTTTGAGATGTTCATGGTTAGAGTACAGCATTCATTTTCCTAGACATCCCTTTAAGTAGGCAAGAATCCTATTGATTGCCTGCATCTGTGAAGTTCTGGGTTTATGCATATACTAACTCACCACACTTATGGCATAAGATATATCAGGCCTAGTCAAACACAAGTAGAAAAGCCAACCAACTAGTCTCTATCATCAGCACTCAATTTATGATTGAGGTTAATGGGAGTTTCAACTGACTTGCACCCCAACTTGCCTACCTCTTGAAGGAGGTCAAGAACATCTTTGATCTCAAATTCAGAAGCAAGGAATGACATCAGCTAGATAATTCTAGAGTTGTCATCCCCAGTGACAACAATGTCTATTTTTTCAAGTGTAAATCCCTAAAAGCGAATGGGCACATGCGTCTGGAAAAGAAGCCTTCTAGAAACTTCAACCACATGTCTATTTTTTCACTCTACTACATTTTCCTACGAGGAATGGGAACATGAGCTTTAATGAATTGCTCCTTTTTATTATAAGGAAGATTTGTAAATTCTTTTCAAAGTATTACTTAGCATTGTCAAACCTTATTATCTTGATTTTCCTCTCAAATTGTGTTTCCACCAGTTTAAAAAAATTTTGAACAATGGAGGGCACTTCATCTCTACACTTCATCAGATATAATCAAGTGTGTCAAAAGTAATCATCAATGGAAAGGATAAAATATTTATAGCCACCCATACAAGGAACAAAATATGGAACCCAAATATCAAGATGGATCAAATTGAAACCAACATCACTTCTTCTATTACTCGCAAAAATATGTAGTTTTACATTGCTTTGAGAGATGACAAACTTCACATTGTGTTGAAGGCATATTTTTTAATCCAAATAATATTTAAATAAATTATAACCCAAAAAGTGGGATGGCTAGTCTGCTAGCCAAATCATTAAAACTATAGAAAAGTATCCTGCATGGGAGTTCCCTCTCTTTAAGTGGGAGGGGCAGGTGTCCTTCACCTAGGAGGAGGACGTAGTTACATAACTACCCCACTCCTTATTTAAGCTCCATAAGGGGAAGCTAGGAATGGAGACACCCTTTGGGGAAAATTATCTCAAGAGATCTTTAAGAAAAGCAAAGATAAAGAGAGAAGAAAAGAGAAGTGCTCAAGGGAAGGTAGGGAAGGAAAAGTCTCACTAATACAAGTAAAAAAAGGAAAGTCCTCTTTGTGAATACTTCCTATATATGTCTTTTTCTATGTATCCTTCTTTCTCCCTCTTTTATTTTCACTTTTGAGAAAGGAAATAGAGGGAAATAAACCATCTACAACTAGGTGCCTCTACTTGGTTGATTATGGTCCCTCTTTTGAGACAAAGTTAGGGATTAAACCATCTACAATCTAATTCTCAAGGGATGATTATGGTTCCCTTCAAATGAAAATGAAGAACAGAGGGATAAAAACCGTCTACAATCAAATATTCAGTTTGATTTACTACAGTTCCCTTTTTGTATGCAAAAATCCAAGGATTAAGGCTGTCTACAGTCAGAATTTCATCTGATTGACTACAGCTTATTGTGAAGAAAGGAGTGAGAAGGAAATTTTCTTTGTATCAAAAAGAAAGGAGAAATGAATTGTTGTATAGTTTCTCAATTGTATTTTCTTTTTCTTTCTTCTCATTCTTGTACACTTGATGTAAAAGAAACACAAATGAAAAGTTCTTTTTAAGTACCCTATTGTTCTTTTCTTTTGTTCTATGCATTCATTTCTCCAAATCAGAATCAAAAGGTGTTCTCTACTTTCTTGTGGAGATGTAATTAAGGGAAACAATCTGTATGATTCCCTGAATGGGCCTTACCCAAAATAATAAAAACCCAATCACTTGATTGAGTGAATTATGTTGCATGAGAAGTTATTAAAATTTTCACACCAACACATTGCATGCTCGAATTGGGCACAAACTGACACAAGTTTGAATAAAAAAATGATGAACTTAAAAGACACATGACCAAGACAATGCCACAGTTCCAAAAGACTTAAGTTTTCACTTTGACATGACTTGGTCTGGCACAATAATCCTTGCTCAGGGGCCTAATCAAAAAGATAAACTCCATCATCTTCATATCCAGTTCCAATCATCTTCGTGTTTGGTCTTGAAAAGCACAATATGAAGGAAAAAAGGTCATTGAACAATTATGGGATTTGGTAAGAGAGCTAACAAATAAAAGATTTTTGTGTAACTATGGTACATGAAGGACAGAACTCAAGAAACGATTATGGCCAAATTTGACTTCACCCAGACCAGAGATTAAAGTTTGAGATCCATCAGCCACAGTGATCTTACCTTTCCTCAGAGCCAATTTATAAGAGGTAAAGTGGGAAGGCATACCAGTCATGTGTTCACTAACTCCTTAGTCCACATTCTAGGAGCTAGGAGATGAAGATTAACAGGAAAGTACAGTACCTGTTTTAGCAAAAGCACTAGAAGGATTACTAGAGCCAGTAGAAGTAGAGGACCCAATCTTCTCAAGCTGAGTCAAGAGGCCCCTGCATTTCTCCATCACATCAAAAGAATCATATGAGTCTGAACACAAGGAAATTGACAACCAACACCTATAGTAGTAAGTTGAGCATTTCCTTTCTTTGTTATTTTAAACTTCCCAAGCTTCAAATGTGGATTCAGCTTACAACACTGGTCCTTAGTGTGTTTTGGTTTCTCGTAGTATTCACACACTTCATCAGTCTTATCATTTACACCCTTTCGATTAAAACTTTGTTTGGGTTTGGAGAACATGTAAGTAGAGTGCTCAATAACTGTATTTTACATCATGGCAACCTCCTACTCTCCTCATTAGCTCACCCTAAACCAAGGAGTATGCAATGTCATGGGAAATAATATCTGCACTAAGGATGTGTTACCGAGAAAAATCATACTCAACAATCAAATCTGCTAGGAAATCAAAAACTGTTCTTTTCAACATATTTTTAGTATTATTCACCACACTCAGGATTCTTCCATACCAAGGCCTCCAAATGGTCCATTTCTTCAAAGAGAGAGATTGTAAGGAAGAGAAGTACATAGCCACTATCCTCTCCCCCTGACACCTATTGCAAGATTCCCTTTAGAGTTGGTATACCTGAGTTGTGTTTCAGAATAAGTGGCAATAACACAATCCCAAATATCCTTGGCAGTGGAGAGAAACATGTAGTTGCAGACAATATGCGGCTGCATTAAACAAACCAGCCATGAGCCTATGACATTACTAGCAAATTATCATGTTCCCACTTGGCAAACTTGGGGTCATCAGTTTTCGGCTTTAATTCCTTGTCTGTAATGGATCCTAACATAACTTTTCCTCCGATGGTAAGCTTGGCAAATTGGAACCACTCTAGAAAGTTGGTTCTGTCAAGTTTTACAATAGTTATCATACCACTAGAAGCATCAACATTGCCCGAGAGCACTCCAAAAACGGTTTGTACCTCCTTAGGCGATTCCATTCCTCTTGGACTAGCTACTCGATCGCCCTACAACATCCAACAACCAACTGGCACATACTAGACCAACCAAAACGTGCCAACACTCGGTTGGAAGCCAATAGGAGCCCAAAACATAGATTAGTGGCAATATAGGAGGAGAATAAAATCTCCCAAAAAATAAGTAGGATTCAAAAATTGTGAAACTACTTCCCATAACTCTAGAAAAGCAAAATTACCTAAGTGAAACAACAAGCAAGAAACAACTGCAGATGTAAAGGAAAAATCCCCAATACCGAACCTGTATTTTTCTGTGATTTTTTATTGAAAATTCCAGGAAAAACAAGCTTCAAATGGAGCTGAGAATCATACTAAAATCTCCCTAAAATCAGGGCACGCCCAATTGAACCAGTTTCAAGGGTTGTTGTCAGCACCTGTACGAACTGTTGACATCATCAGGCAGCAGTCTGAAGTCAATAGGTCTTCCTGGGCTTGGGGGTCAGCAGAGAAAGCTCTTCTAAGGTCCCAGAAGAGCTCTGATACCAAGTTGCAAGATGAGAAGTGAAGGAGGAAGAAGAGAAAAGAAGAAAATAGAAGAGAAGAGAAGGAGAAGAGGGTTTCAAGAGAAAGGGGTGAGTAGTTGTTCACACCTCAAAAAGAGCCTTTTATATTAAAATATATAATTTACATAAAAGGCCCTTGAATGGGTGCCCAAATACAAAAAAGGATAAAAAGACTAAAATACCCTTTTCCACAATACATTCTGAACAAGTATGTCCTGTGCGATAGATGTAAGGGGTTGCAACTATATGTTTTTTGAACTGTTGAGTGCTGCATTTCAAAAGACATTAAGGGAGACATATTGTATCTCATAAAGAGATAGGAAAAATCTGGGGTTTCCAATTCTTAAGAGTGGAAGTTTTCACCTAGTTCGTGGTGATCAAAAAGGTTCTCACCATAGAAAAACTTAAGTTTCAGGTTGACTAATAAGTATGCCTTGTGCAATAAATGTAAGGGGTTACAATTATATGTTTTTTGAATTGTTGAATGCTGTGTTTCAAAAGACGCTTAAGAAACGTCTCTTTTTTTTCAGATAAGTATTAAGAAATGGATCTATGCATCAGAGTGATCTTAAATTGGACCTAGAGTTTTGTTTATTTTCTAAATTTTCTAATATTAGGTTCTAGGAGTTTTTTTTTTTGGGACTAACCATGATTCTAGTCAATATTCCATGTCAGATAGCAATGTTTTTTAGGGATTTGAATCATTAGTTTTCAGTTTTAGAGTCTCTTTTGTATTTAAATTTTCAGCATTAGGGGTGTGTTGGCAATTCTGGTTTTGTAGTATATATATATCTGTGCGTGTGTGTGTGTGTATGGTTGCATCAATATGAACAGAAAGTGATGTATAGGATCCAGTTTGAGAAAATTGATTGATTTTTAAGCCCTACTTCATACCTTCCCATACCTCTCCCTTCTCTCTTTGATGTTCTCTTCTCTGCAGGTTAGTGACCTCAGCTGCTGTTCTATCAAATCAAAGGCATAAAATTCATTTAAACAATCTGCCCAAGTAAGCTTCTATATTTTTCTCTTCTAATTCTCTTGGGTTTCATCAAAAACATTGGTGTCAAGACACTAATTCGAGGCTGGGCGATAGTAGAATGCGTTGTTGTCTTGGAGACTAGCCACACATCTATGCATTGCCTGTCCTTTTTTTTAAGAAACGATTGGTTTCATTAAAGAAAATATAATAAGGACTGCTGAGTGAAAGATTTCCTCAGCAGCCGACCACAAGGAAAGAAGAGTCAACAGACAATACATTACACAATAAAATCATTTTCCCACAGAATAGCTCCCCAATGATCCACAAGTGCCTAAATTGAAAACCCCTGAAAAGATGACTAATGGAAATCCATTTGAACAAAATCCTTTCAGCAATCCTTTTTTATCAATGAAATCTTTCAGCAATCATGCATAATTTCTCTGAAGGACAAGCATGATCTTCAAACAAGCGGCTGTTCCACTCTTTCCAAATGCACCAACAAAGCACCATAGGTAAAACTTTCCACAGCACCTTATCACTCTTAGAGAAGGCCTGCCCACGCCAAGAAGACAATAAGGAAGAAAGGTCTGGGGAAGTCGTTCAACTCATATCATACAGTCTTAAAACATGGGACCACACCCTGTAAGAGTAACTACAAAGACTGAAGAGATGCCTGGGCAATATATTTTATATAAAAAATCTGGATGATTTTAGCACATCTACCAAAACCCTAAGGCTATGTTTGGTTTGAAGGAAAAGGTAGTGAAAGGAAGGGAAACATAGGGAAACCTATACAAGGTTTGTAAAGGTTTCCCTAAATTTCCCTTCCTTTCCCTACTTTTTCCTTCAAACCAAACACAGCTTAAGAGAAATCTTTTTCTAGAAATCACCTGACCCAGAAGACCTAGAAAAACCCAACCAAGTTTCTTCCTATACTAGCTCTCCCTTATTAATTGTCTTTCCCCACAATAACTATTGATCATTTTGAAAATTCCTCCTAGATTGCAAGATATTACAATTCTCTCATTTTTCTCTCAAGAATTATGCTATTGCAGATACCAATCAAAAAGTTCTGCCATTGCAGGTTTTTTCTTCTATTTTCTCACTATAGAAGTGACACTTGCGATTCTAATCCAGTAAGCCTATTCTAAACCCTTTGATATACTTTATTAGACCTCCCTATATCAGAACCCAAGCCCAAGCCCATTCTTCCATCCTTAATAAAGTTTTATCCAAATTTTTCTTGCATTTTACATCACTCCCATAATTTCAGCACCCACCAAGTATTTGTAAAATTGTAGGTCCTCCCAATATTTTCTTCTTGTTCAACTTCAAAGTTGATTAGATTTTAACTTCATGTACTCTTCTTACAATTCAGCATTGGCCTAATATAAGAGCTTGAGTAAAAGGGAGTGATACCAAGGATAATTACCCCCTTTGCAGTTTTCAGGATATTTAGAAAGAGAGGAATAAAAAGTTATTTCAAAAACAAGCCAACACAACTTCCAAGAATTTGTAGGGGTTGTATCTAGTCGGTCCCCTAACTTTAAAACGTGTCTCTGCAGTACCCTGAACTTTCAAAGCGTGTCTAATAGGTCCCTGCCATTAACAGTCTGTCGGTTATCTGTATCATGTGACAACATGTGCCACTTAAAACGTTTAAAATGTCAAAACTACCCTTAAAAGAAGATACTGTTCATTGTCTTGTACCTTGAGACTAAACAGCTGTGCCATTGCTATGATGGTGCCGGGGACTGACGACAGTGCCAGGAACAGATTTGAACAAATGGACAAAGGTGCCAGAAATTGACCAAGTTCCGGCAATGGCTGAAACTGCCATTGGTATGGTTTCCTGTATGGGGCTGAGTTTGCTCGTTTATTATCCTCCGTTTCTTCTTACACTAACAAAGACTCTAGTCATTAGGCAATTAAATCCATAAGTGAGTTTGTGATAACAGGAGCTTCATAATGTATATTGACCAATCCCAGCTGTTTGGACTCTAGAAAAGAAACTCTGTGGTGGAAAAACAAAACCAAGAACAGTCACATTGTCAAGCAGATGTACTCCCAAGCCCACTACTTCAAATCATTGAATATATGGTAATGCATATTGAGATTAAAAAAAACAAATTCTTCATCTATCCTGTGAATAACAACTGCCCAATTTCTACAACTTGACTTTTCCGGGCATTGAAGGAGCAATCACCATGAAGTTGAAAGCTAAATTACCTATCACTAAAAGGCAGCCCCATTAAATAATTAAATAGGTATGTTTCAGAGCCTCAATCCAGTGCTAATATAACAGAATCTTGGATGAGCAATGCATGAGTATAAGCATCTCGGATGACACCGGTTTCACTCTCAGTGTCTCTCCCCACTAGGTTTCCAAATACACCCTTATGTTTCCCATACAGAACCAGAACTGGATCCCCACACTTCGGAAGCGCAGTGTCCAAAATTTCCTGATCCACACACTGGATAAGCTCTCTGCTCTCGTCCATGGACAATATCACATGTTGTTGGTCCTACAACATCCACGACCTCCCCCTTTTTCAAATAGAGCTTCCCACCTTTGAAGTCTTTGCTACTTATTCTAACCGGGATATGACTCACCAACCAAGAAACTCATGCTCCCATTTCTTCTTCCTTGCGGCTACTTGATCAAGATGTTGCTCCATTGTCAAATTTCATTTCATCACCTCTTCTCTCTGTCTCTTATCGTTCCTCCTAAAGTCCTTATTACCATCCCTCTTTCCTCTGTCATAACCATGGTTACCTGGTCCCACAGGGAAAAAAAAAAAGCTACAGGGAACAAAGGACAAATCTAAGAGGACTTACTGAAAGCTCTCCACTACATCAGGCTTTCTTTCGAGAACACTCAAGGTATCGTTGTTCCCACCAGCCTTACAAGAGAGAGAGAGAGAGAGAGAGAGAAGAAGAAGAAGAAGAAGAAATGAAAGCAGAATAGAGAGAGCGTTACCAAATCATCAAGGTGCAATGGCGGTTTGAGCCGTCATCGGTATTTGGTTGGTCTCAAGGTAGAAGACAATAAACAGTGTTCTTTAGAAGGGTAGTTTTGACATTTTCAAAAGTAACTAACGGACTGTTAATGGTAGGGACCTATTAGACACATTTTGAAAGTTCAGGGTACTGCAGAGACATGTTTTAAAGTTCGGGGACCGACTAGACACAACCCCTAAAGAAAAAAAAAATCAAAAAAATCTTCCCTAATTTTTAAGCAATTTAAAGACAAGCCCAGGATGGATATTAAGGAAATTTTGGATAAGATAGTGAAATGCTAAATGTTTGTGGTTTTATTTTGCTGTCTTGTGATATAGTGCAGGGTTCAATATAATTTTTGGACCTGATGGATATCTTCGTGTAGAGGGATCCAAAGTAATTTTTGTTGTCTTGGTATATAGCGCTGGGTTCAACATATTTTTGGACCTGATGTAGATCTTCTTGTAGAGGGATCTAAAGTATAGTAGAATGGATATTTCATATAAACTCAAGCAATTTTATTACCTGTTGCCTATAAGAAAAATATGGCTTGAATAACAGATGATCAATGATAGTAAAAACAAATAAGATTGCAAAATCCATAGAATTGAGATAAACACGGCATAACTCAATATCCCTCCTACCCATCCACCCCCCTCCCCCAAAAAAGAGACTGCATACCTGCTGAAAATTGTTGCATAAAAATGTCGGAGTCTAGAGTACATTGGAGATTCAATGTTCCCAAATTCCTGCATATCAGGTAAAACTTTAGAACCTATTGGGTTAACAATGCTGATTGTCCTGTTTAAAACCATTACAGCCAAAAATGGAGGACTCAAAACAACTAAAATTCAGGAAGTATTTTATAGAAATTGATTCAAAACAATGTCCAGCAATAGAAGCAATCTCACCAAAAACGTTGCTGACCGGCCAGATGGACAGGCATATTTACTCCAACCGAACTTGCAATAGCCAGAACCACCTTTGCAACAAAATGAAAAGGAAAAATAAAACAACAATTGAAGATTAAAAAAAATGATTTTTTATAGAAAAGTCAAAGGAAAAAACAGATGGATATCCACCATCTACCAGGATTCTTTACAGAGGTGAAGATGAAGCCACTCACCATCAATAATAACAGAACCAGTTAGTTGTGCACGTCGTCCATAGATATGCATGAAAGAAAACTGAGATGGCTGAGTAGAAAATGTCCTGCAATCACAGTCCATATTATGAAAGATAATTGCAGAGTATGGATCACCAAGAAGTGAAAACTTTGAATTTTAAAAATAAACAAATAAAGGAACTGCCCAGGAGGAACTCATGCCCTTTAGGCTATCAGAAAAATGAAAAAAAAATACAATGTGAATATAAAGTATTAGGTGGTCAAGGAACAATTAACAACCTCGATACTCTACTCAACCCATCTCAGCCATACTTAATCTAGAAACTTCAATATCAAATATATATTAAAAAGTTGGCTATATTAGCATTTGACCATTAGCATCAATTAGATAAAATAGAGGAGAATGCTCTCTTTTTGCTTCAGAGCAACAGAAGTTTCTCCTCTTTTGTTAGTCATTGATAGGCGAGACAACACTGTTAGCTCTTACTTCATTGCTGGATCAATAGACACTCCAAACTTTAGTCATGTCAGTGGGAGCTTTAGTTGTAATTTTTTTCTTTTTGTTCTTCTTTATAAAGAAGTAGAACCTCGAAAATATAAGTTTGAAATTTGAAATTGATGGATATTAATCCACTGAGCTTCTTTACATAGGCAATGGTCAATGAGTTGATCGGCATTAATGACAATAAAGCGGGCCTCCAAAATATGGGCAAAGTTCACTACCTTGAATAGTGAACATAGAAAGATTCATGTAATATGGTTACAGAAATAGGTAAGATAGTTGAAGAGCGAAAGCTCTGACAAACAGAACAAGAGTTGGCCTGCAATGGTGGATAAGTTTCAGCATTTGAGGTGAGCAATGGAGCGACGGCGGTGAACAGTGATTCTTAAACTAAGATTGAGATTAGGAGACTCTGATCAGAAAATTTGGTACTGATAGCAGTGTTGATTCTAGTTCCAATGTCATTGTCGACAAAGGTTGTGTCAGTCATGGAAGTAGGTAAGGTGGGAGAAAGATTGGAATTTCTAAAGAGATGCTTAGTAGGTGAGTTTGTTCACTTGGACCCTGATATAAGAGAGGTGGAGGATTGGGCGAGTAATGAGTGGAGAAACCAGCCTCTCCTGTGTTCGAAGGTTGGGAGTGTCTCTTTTCCTATTCAGTTTCAGGTGGAGAGAGGACATGGAAGAGGCCTTAGCAAGGGAAAGGGCTGGGAGAAGAAGGAACCCATAAAGTTTCTTATAGTAGATGGGGTTTGTTGTGTTGGTTCGAGTAGGGCCAGTTCAAAAACCGGATCAACCCTGTCAATGTCCAACCCCATTTCTTTCTCAAATAGAGATCATTCGACAACAAGCCAAAACTTAAGAGGTTGTAGAGATTTCTGAAGAGGTCTCGAGGTGACCTCAAGGGAAGACGATGAACGTTTTCGGAGAGGTGACTACAAATGCTTTGTTACAAGGTACATCTATACTAATGGTGAACCAATTGAGGGTAGGAGAGCTCCTATCCAAGAAAACCAACAATTTTCAAGAAGCCATGTGCAAAGACATAGGCTAATGTTGTTCATTCATTCATTCTAATAAAATATCTTCTTAAAAGGCAATTATAGTTATATGATCATTATTTTTTATGTGAGAATTAAGAATTTAAGACCCTAAAATGGACTTGTTTGGGCTTGCCTCAAGGGGCGTGGTACAAAGCATAGAATCAGGAATGCAATATGTTTTACATCATATTAGCTACTTAAAGTAATGCAATTGAGGAAAAAAAAAAGAGATTGTGGGTTTTACAAGCTTGAAAATGCTTTATATGTTCTATTTTATTTTTAAATTTTCATTTGAATATGCATTACATGTTATGTTTATGTATTTAAATTTTAGATAATAGGTTTTTTTAAAGCATTTATTTTAAAATTTAAGTTTATATTTTTATCAATATTATGTTTAATATTTTCTTTTTTTGAATTTTTTGACATTTTTTTGGATTTTCTGACTTTTTTTTATTTTTTAGCATTTTGTTTTTGTATTTCTGTGCCTTGCTTCAAAAAGGTGTGCACCTCGGGTGCAAATTGACCCTTGTGCTTTTTTTGCGCCTTATGCTTTTAAAACACTTCAAAAAGTAAGGAAAACACTTTTTTTACTCTTGTGGGCAGAGAGAGTTTATTGATTACATCTCCCTCAAGTGTTTTATGTTGGAGCAACAGTGTGCTCCGAAGGGAGGATATTTCGATCCTTTTTATTTTTCTGAGCTTAATCTGGGGATAAATCCTGAATGTAAACAATCGAAGGAGTTGCATTTTGAATTTTGTTTAACAAAGGGTATGGATCAAATCCTAGTGCTGAATTCTGAGGTTGATGAAGGAAAAAAGTGAAGGACCTGCAGTCTTGTTTGGCTTCTGAGTGTTATCCTGAAGGAGAAGGAGCTCAAGGTCAAAGGAAAAACTAAAGACAAAGACAAAGACAAATTTTTTGGGAGTTCGAAAGTTTAAAACAGGAAAAGATCTTATAGAACAAGGCCTTTGACGGAGATTGAAATTGAAAGGAGTCAAGATGATGTTTTTTCTTCAGATGAAGAAGAAAGCCTATGTGAAGAGGATGAAGAAGAAGTTTATATGGACAAAACGCATCAGATTGATAAAGATAAAGATATTGATATAACTAAGTTTGCAGAAACGGTTGTAAAGGTAAATAAAACTCTAGGCTTGCTTGTTTTGGGAGGTGAATCTTTTACTAGGAGGATGTTCAAAGAATTGGAGGAAAGTTACGTGTTGCCTGTTAGGGAGAGTGATGGAGGTCTTCAAGCGCAGGCTCCACTAGTCAATGAAGGCCACAATAGCTCAACTACATCTAATTTGGTAGAGGACTTGGTGAAAAGAGTGAAGCTTTGGTTGATGCCCAGCTCTTTGAGAAAAACACAGTGATAGAATTGGAAAGGATTAATGAGAAACCCTCATGTTCATTGGAATTCCAAAAAAAATACTCTAGCAAATAGAAGGCTTAAGAGACAAAGGAAACAACAAGATATTATGGTTTCAAAGGCTTTTTCTAGGCTATAAGGGGGCCTTTTTGGGATTAAACCAATCAAGAAGGTTGTGAAGACTAGGAAAAACTCTAGAAGCTTTAGTGGTCATTGATTTGCAGGATGCAATGTTTGAGAGATTTTGGTGTTGGTCCTTCAAGGATTTCTGCTGCTGTCTCGAAGGTTTGAATTGTTTTGATTATGCTATCCTGGAGATTCTTTTTTTTTTTTTGTTCTTGAGTCGTGTGGTTTATGGTTGTGCTGGTTTGTGGCTTTAGTAGTCTCCTTGTTTGAGATTTTGGATTCTAGGTTCTATTTTTGAATCCAGGTGGCCTTGGTTTTATCACTTTGAGTTTTGGAGGTTGTTTGTTTTAGTAGAAATTTGTAGAAACAAAAAATTGTAGAGAAAGAAGAAGAAAATAAGTTTTTGTGAGAAAAGAGAAGAAGAAGAGAGAGAATGGAGAAAAGAATAAGAGAGCATTCAGATCTGGCCGCCCCCTCTTATTGATATTTATACTTTAAGTAAAAATTATGTATAATGACTAATATGCCCTTATAGGGTGGGTAACCCAAAAATAAACTCAATAAAAGACTTAAAAATACCACTCTAAAGGGTGCCAACAAGTGTTTTGTGTTCCCCACTCCCTAACTAAATAATAAACAAATTAACCAATAAATCTACACAAAATCCTCAATACTCCCCCTGAAGTTGGGAGTAAATGTCACACATTCCCAACTTGCCTAGGTCATGTTCAAGCTTGTTCTTTGCAACCCCTTTGGTGAAGACATCAATCAACAATAACTCAGTGGTGACATAAGGCATGAAGACTTCTCTAGCTATCACCCTTTCTCTTATGAAGTGTCTATCAACTTCAATGTGTTTTGTCCCATCGTGCTGGACTGGATTGTGGACAATATTGATTACAGCTTGGTTGTCACAATATAGCATCATGGGCTCCTCCGTATCTATCCCAATCTCACTCAGCAAGGATCTAACCCAAAGTAATTCTAAGACACCATGGGTTATAGATCTATATTCGGCTTCTACACTTGATCTTGCCACCACCGACTATTTTTTACTTTTCCATGAAACCAGATCCCCCCCCAAAGGTATACACCCCTGATTTGGATCTCCTGTCATCTAGGCAACCTGCCCAATCTGCATCTGTATAAGACTCCAGTTTCAAATTCCCATGGTCTGTGAATAAAATTCCTCAACCAGGATGGTTCTTTAGGTATGCAAGGATCCTATCAATGGCTTCCTAGTGCTAAACCCAAGGAGCATGCATATATTGACTCACAACACTCATAGCATAGGAAATGTCTGGGCGTGACATGCACAAGTATAGTAGCCGGCCTACCATCCTCTGATATCTCCCCACATCCTTAACCAATTCTCCATACAAAGCATTAATCTTGTGGTTTGGATCAATAGGAGTATCAGCTAGTTTAACTCCTAGCTTCCTAGTTTCCTGTAGTAAGTCTTATACGTACTTCCTCTAAGAGAATGAATATCCCATGCTTGGATCTTGCAACCTCAATCCCCAAGAAATATTTTAGTTCACCTAGATCCTTAATCTCAAACTCTTGCTGCAGTGACTTCTTGAGTGCATCAATCTCCCTCAGATCATTCCTTATATCATCCACATACACAATCAATACTAACACAAGTGATTCACTCCTCTTCACAAAGATACTGTCATCTGACTATTAGACAGTGTATGCCCTTAGCTCCAATCAGAATGATGTACATTATGACATTTATTGTAAATGAATAAAGTACATATTTGATTCATGTTATTATGGTGTGTTTCTGTGTAATACCCTTAAACTGGACACATATGAGACTCGTGTTAGTTTAGAATCTTCACAACCGTTGGATAGATCTAGGGAGATTTATCTTGCCAAGGCTGACACTGATGTGCCGCCAAGTTGGTTGGGGTGGTTTGTCTCAGCTGCCAGGGTGAGACCTGAGGTACATGCAGTGTGGGTTTTTTCTTGAAACCCTGAACCGGACCAAAATTCCAATATTGCCCTGGACCTTGGAGATAGATGAGCAAAACTGGAATG